AGAATTCATATTCTCTGGAATTATTGCTGCACAAGAAATTTTACATCAATGAAAATGATTCAGTAGCTCTTTGATTGTACTCAGTGCATATCCATGCATAGAATTAACTGTTTTATTTCTTTAGAGTTATTACGCTTAAATCGCATCCGTTGTACAGCTGTGAAAAGTATGACATCTGTCTTCTTACTGGACACGAGGCTACTCCTTTACAGTAAGTATCATCTAGACATCTAGACAGTTTTTGTTCGTCATGGAAGTGATTTGTATATTGTAGCTATCTCTTAATAAACAATAATGATTTATAGTTTCCTTTTTCTTCAGCACGTATTGTTTAGTCATCCTAGTCATATGTCCTTTTTTTTGTTCTGGCTTTCTCTACATTTACATTTCTTTGTGAGCACTATGAGTATCTCATGTGATGCTTTCTATTCAGCATATTTCTTCCTCGTATTGTTTTTCTCTGTACACTATCGAAGTCAACACTCATACGTAGATCTCATCATAAAAAAAGAAAAATAAAAGTGAAAAGTAATCTTGTTCCACAGGTCATCGTTGTATAACAGTCATGTTGATATAATCCATTGTATCACATCAGATATTACCTGTATCACCTGTAGTCCCGTTGATCGTCGAGGGACTGGAGCCGGCGCCAGTAAATCTTCCATTTTTCCCTGTCGTGTGCAAGAGTAGCCCAGTGGGTTCTGCTCGCTCTAGGGACTCGTCGAGCATCGTATCCTTTTTCTAGGCTTTTCGTGAAGAACTCCGACCATTGGGTCGGTGGTCTTCCTGCAGTACGTTTGACATCCCGAGGAATCCAGTCACTAACGGCTCTTGTCCATCGGTTATTATTCATACGCATTACGTGTCCCGCCCACCTTATCTTCGATTGTTTGGCGTATAGAACGGTATTTTTGTTTTTTGATCGTTGACGCAGGTCGGAGCTTCGGATCCCATCCCTTACATATGTGGAACGGGATACTCCTAGCATCGTTTTTTTGACTGCGCATTCGATAACGCTGAGAGACCTTTCATTCTGCTTACGCAGCGACCAGGTTTCTGACGCATACGCTAGGACTGGAAGTACCGCTGAGTCGAAAAGGTGGGCACGAAGTCGAGTATTCTTTGTACTCTTCACTAAATCTTCGATGCTGTTGAAAGCTCCCCTAGCCGTTTGTTTGCTTCTGCTCAACTCTGGAGCTAAGTCGTTCAATATGTTGCTTTTCCGACCTAGATAGACAAAACTGGAGCATTAGGAGATATTCGTTCCTTTGAGCGTGAATGGAGCATGGGAAACCAATCCCTTCTTCATGAACATCGTTTTTGTGAGATCTAATCGAAGACCAATCTTTCCACAGGCTTTATCAAAGTCGGCAAGCATACGTTCCGCTTGGTTAATGTTTGGTGTTAAAACGACGATGTTATCAGCAAAACGAAGATGGTGTAACCAGCAGCCATCGATTTTCACTCCCATGTTATCCCATTCTAATGTTCGCATGACGTTCTGGAGGGTGGTGGCAAATAATTTTGGCGAGGTGGTATCGCCTTGCCTAACTCTTCTTTTGAAATCAATGTTAATACCGTTGTAGAATGGTGATATCTTGGTTGTGAAGTTTTTGTACAACCCGCAAAAAACCTTTGTGTACTGAGTAGGGACTCCTTGACTATCAAGGACTTCCATGAATGCTATCTCAGTTAAATCAGAGGCCTTCTGTAAATCGATGAAATTGGGACAGAGCGGTCTTTTGTACTTTCGCGATACTTCAGTGAGCTTTGTTATTGTGTGGGTGTGGTCCACAGTACTAGATCTTTTCGAAAGCCCGCTTGCTCACATGGCTGTCCTTCGTTCAATGTTCTGTCAACACTCTTCATTCTCATCAATCCTTTTTAGGATGACTCGAGTGAAAAGTTTGTAGGCGACAGACAGCAAGCAGATTTGGCGATAGTTGTCGATATCGTGTAGGTCACACTTGAACAATAAGACGGTCTTGCTGGTCTTCAACGAATAGGAGCGTTGCATTCAGACAGGTACTAAGTAGGTAAATCAGGCAGGTAACGCGTGAAGAGCAGAGCCAGTGTGTTTACGAGAACTGGCGGAAGGTTCTTCAGGTGTTCTGATCTTCTCCTGATCGGACCTGCTGCTGTTCGATGTTTCACCGACGCAATGGCAAGTCGGACTTTGGAAGGGAGAACCGGTGGTGCAACATATACATTCTCCTTTATTTCATATAACGGAAGGTGGACGAGGCTATTGAAGAGATCTGAGTAGTATTCGTGAATGATTTTCTTCATTACCTTTCTGGACGCTGTAACTGTTCCATCTGGACGCCGGAGTGCAATCGTTTTGGTCTTCTAATTGCCGAAGCTTTGGTGAGCTTTGCGAATGCTTTTCACAGCCTCTGCGGCTTCGACCATTACTGCTGCTCTTCTCTCTTTAAGATCTTCTTTCATCGCCTGTCTGCATTGTTTTGTAAGTTCGGACGTTGGTTTGCGCTTACCTGCAGCTCGTGCGATTCCACGCTGGTGTATCAGCTCGCGTGTTGCTGGAGGCAGACGTCTCTTGGTGACTTTTGAACTCTCAGCTTTCATAGCGCTAACGTGAAGATGTTGAACGGGCTGATCGTATTCTTCGTCGATGTTATCGACGACGGCATCTTCCCAGCAGCAGACCAGTGACTTGAATAGGTCCCAGTTTACGGTGGTTCTAGGACTTCGGTTTTTGAATTTAGCGGCTTTTGTCCTTTACGCGAGGAATAGAATTTCGTATGAAGGAGACGTTGGTCCTTCTATTTACTATGATGTGGTCTATTTCGTTATGGTACTCTCCATTGGGAGTCTCCCATGTCCAGCGTTAAGGGTGGGACTTCTAGAAATGAGAGTTACCACGGATGGTCTTCATCATCGTGATAAACTCAGAAAGCCGCTCACACTTCTCGTTCCATTCCAATCCGTGGGTTCCAATGTGACGTTCTTCAGACGCTTTTCTTGGTCCAATCCTGGCGTTGAAATCTCCAATGATGACCTTGAAGAATGTATGGTCTTCTCTGTAGAACTTCTCCAAGTCCATATAGAACGCTTCGACTTCGTCATAGTTTGATGTCGGCGCGTAAACGACGAAGATTGTCAAAGCCGGAATTGATCCACGTCTTTTTAATCGTAAACGTCCGATTCGCGTTATAAGTTGTTCGAATGAATCAGTGTTCATGGCTGAACTCGTGTTGACGAGAACGCCGACTCTACTGCTGCATGTTCCGAGGAACAGTTCTCCGGTGTCATAGACGGCGTTGAATGGGTGACGTCGTCTCGTCTCGGCGAGGTCGATGACGTCGTAATTTATTCTTCTTGCTTGCATGAGCAAGTTTTCTATCGAGGACTCGAATGCAATAGTACGTGCATTGTAGGTACAGATCGTCACCATAGTTCTTTGAAATCCAGGCAGCTTCCATTGGCCCTGAGATTTTAGCAGCCTCTCCGTACTCGTCCTAGCCAACGCTCCGAAATGAGGATCTTTCGGGGTAGAGCAGAGGTCGCTTTTGGTCTACGATTAACTCCGTATCCGCCGCCTGGGGACGTGCCACGTAGCCTCTCGACTAACCAGCTCGAGATCCCTCATAAGAGAGACTTTCGTGGCACATCAAATATATTATGCCATATTCTGGAAAGGTCAGCTTTGGAGCTATAAAATTGTGCAGTTATTGAATTTTTCTAATAATCGCGTCACACAATGTCTCTGTTCCCAAACCCGACGTCTCCTTATTGCTTTTCTCATGTACTGGTCGCTGGATGCATCTGTTGCCCTTCCACTTGAAGGGCTGTTGTACCCGTTCTAATGCAGCAAAGCGCAGTGGTTGCGTTGTCTATCTGTCCTTTGTTATTCAGAAGTTGTCATTATACCACTTACTTGATCCTTGTGAAGGAAACCGTATGCTGATGAGAAATAGAGTTGACAAAGGATGAAGTTCTCGACGTTGATCAATCCTTGATGCGCCATGCATTCCACTTCATTAAGTACAGTTGGAGGTGATTGAATTCACATCTGGCCTTTACAATAACTCGCGGTGGCCTGCCGATTATTGAGCCAGTGCTACTAGGCTCCCAGAGAAGTATGACACCAATTCGCCACCTTCGGAGGGGTGGAGGGCTCGGTGACCTTTGAGCGCGGGGATCAATCCCATATGTATTGCAAGGAGCACTGCCCCACAAGCGCCTCGAGTAGAATTAATTCTAGAGAGAATAATTGAGAGTTCTAACCACTTGATAACTGCTAAACACTATGTCTGCATTTATGTCATTGTCTACGTTTATACATGAGAAAAAGAACTGTATAAAAACCAACAATTCGCGCAAATATAATTGAATGTCTAAAACTTTGAACGATGTAGAATGTCATGAGAGCTTTCAGTATCTGTAAATAAACAAAGCTGAATCAGATGACCTCTAACAATTTGAACTGCGAAGAAAATCACAGAAAAATAAAACGACAAACTATGTGTTCTGTTCCCACTATATACAAATTAAGTGGACATGTGACTATAAAAAAAAGTGTGGGGATCGGGACCTTGACAAAACACCTCGTCTAAACATCCCAATAAACAGTAATGAAATCTAATAAGCGCGTACTAAGCAGTGATGAGATCACAACTTGTCTAGTACAGCAAAGGTGGAACCTAAACCTACGAAAAATACGTTTCTAACGTGGAAGGTGGTAATACCTAGAAGGAAACTACCGCTGAGCAGACAACAATTTGGCACGACGACCTCAAGGATACCACAGAGTTACAAATATGTATAAGGAAGATCTCGTGACAATGTAACAATGACGCATACATAATGAGGTAATGCGTAGTTGATTACTGAAGTAAAGCTTGATAATAGTACCACATAGTCCAACAATATAACGAGGATTCATAAATATTTTACTATAAAGCTTGCCTTTTACTGTAGTAACAGAACCTGAGCCAGGATAACGGAGAAGAAGTGATAAGAAAAACCAGTCATTATTGCTAAATCGGACTGCTCGACTGAACAACACCAGGACGTCTTCGTCGTCTGTCGAGTGTATTTCTTAAATCTTCTTTCTCTTGTCTTAAAACCTCGCGAACTAGTCTGCGGACCACGTGTGTAACAATAATATCATCTGACTCTTCGGCAGGTTCAGCGATGTTACCCATTCTAAATGTTATCGAATATGGTGTAGCAACTTTAAGCACGTCTATTCCATTATATATAACAAACCTCGATGATGCCCCACTATTCCTACTCTGCATGAAATCTTCACTGCGACTTTCTTTTATGGAGGCTAGCTCACTATCTGGAAACGAAATATTCTGCAGCAACAGTGAGCGTTTCCGCTCGATCACAGATGTTTCCTCATACACCTGAAAACATCCGCAGAAATTTTACAAAGTTATGATCACTGTTCAAATATCATCCCATTATTACGTTCTTGGATTGTCAAACTAAGAAATATCTCAGCATCATTGCTAAGCTTTATAAAGACACCAACGTGTTAGTTTAACAATCCAAAGAAGTATTGATTATTAGTTACGCGGATACTTGGATGGCCCGTCTTCACTGGTTGTGCGGCCCCCAGGGAGATTTAGTCCGATACCAGGACGGTGGTGAACCCTGGTATTGGACTACTCCTAGCTGGGCTTCGTGATAGAAATACCAAACTCGACAGCTTAGGAGATCCTGCTGGGAGGATGAAGCCTCCCGATGTACATCGTAGCCCAACACCCAGGATTACTTCTCAGCCACGATGAGGCGGTAAACCGTTGGGCGGATTGATTACCAGACCTGTTTGGGAAGATGAAAACACTACTAACTTGATAGATTGGTACCCCATCCTCTATCACTGTATAGGTCAGATATGCATTGTCTTCTGTAACGATCCTTGATTAAGTCGAGTGCATGGCGCTTCCCGCAAGGAATGGTCAGTGCCGAACGCTATACCTTTTTTATCGATGCAATTTACATTTACACTGCTGCTGGGTGATTGAGAGGGCAAAGGAAAAGTTTAAATTCGTTCCTTAAAGGCGAAAATGAGCTCACCACATAGTTCACTAAGTCGCTAACTACAGTCCTGACATCCTTCACAGAATCTTCACTAGCAACACCGAGATCTTCAACGTCTTGATGCAAAACTTCTTCAGCAGAACACCTCTCTTTTGATGTTCCAGCATCTTCACTTCCTGAACACTCTTGTTGGTTTGAATACCCCTCAGTCGCATTCACTGACTCCTCCAAAAATATGCTTGCCGTATTTTCTTGTTTTGGTAAAATCGAATCATCAGTTGCTGAAATAAACAAGGTATGAGAGTATAAAACGAAAAATGAGGAGAAAACACAGACCTTTGACTGTTGTATGCGATGACTCGAGTGAATCAGGGAGAGACGACACCACTGAAGTTGACGGTGAGTATTCACGAGTTAACTTTGTACATGGAACATCTAATGCTAAAGTTTTCGGTCGAGATTGATTCTCGTGAAGTGGTGCACTCTAAAACATAATTTGATTTATCGGGCAGAAGAGCATTTAAGGAGTTGAGAGGCATGAACGTTTTTAGAGCAGACCGTCCTAACAATATGTATATATACAAATACATATATATAATCTTAATTGGTATTATGTAGCTTTGCAAAAATCGTAGTATATGTATAGTCTTTGCAGAATGTTTAAATTTCAACTGCGAAAAGAAATTTGTTTACAAATGATATTTTCTAGAAATCGAAAACGAGATCCAAGTTTACAAAAATCTCCGTGCAAACCCAGCAACTGCAAGCATAATTAACGTATTAGGGAACACGGAATGTTCTGCTAATATATCTCGCTCGTTCAATTGCTTTGCAGTTCGAAATACGAGTCGCAACACGTAAAAAGTTGAAAATTTCCATATTTCCAATCAGAACTAAGGTCTTCAACCTCAGAAAGTAAGGGCACATATTGCATCTTATTGGCAAATATTTATAAATTCACATGATCTCTACTCAACTCATAATGTCCACTACGAGCTTGGATATGTTGTTCAAAATTGAAATGCATCTTTCTTTTCACTTCGCACGACTCCATGTGAAGTTATGTCGTCGGAAATGCGTAAAAAAATTCCTAAGAGCAAATAATTGGTCGAATAAATGGTGCACATACAGAGGATTGTTGGGTGGTTGCGACGTTAAAACTTGAAGAAGAGGGCGAGACGGAAAAACGACGAAGCTTTCGAACAGTCGGCTTTGCAGATAAATCTGCTTGTGGAATGGCAGGTAAAGAACTCCATTCGGCTGCAAATTTTGCAAATAGCATTCTTTTTGTAATTTGTAGAACAAACCTTTTAAAAAACCATGCAGAAGTTAGGAGTAATAGAAGAGGAATCACAATTTATTTGTGGAATGACGCTCACCAAGTCCTACAGAATTGTGGGGAGACACAGAAAACTTCTTAATTGTCTTTGTAGAATCATTGTTGGTCTCATCCAAAGAATGTGTTGAGCCACCCATGACACGAATACGCTCCTACAAAACAATTACACAAGGGCGGCAACTATATGCTTATTTAAACTATCCTGTTATTCAACTAAAATAAATAAATAGTTAAATTCTTTACTTGCAGCCTACTGCAATTATCAAGACAGGGTATTATGTGAAGTCAACCACAATGATGTTGAGATATTTGCAAAACTCCGGACGTCTGGTGTATGCGGTGGGGATCGAACACATTTTTACTCCTTCCGGAGACTAACGTGTTGAGACCACCACACCATTGGTAGATAGAAAAATAGCTGAGAGAAAGGCGAAGCAAAGCACGCACCCGGCATGGTGGTGAACGCGCTAACCCCCGGAAAGAGTAATAAAGTGCTCGATTCCCACCGCAGACACCTGCAGTCCAGAGTTTTGCAAACATCTCAGCGTCATTATGGTTATAAATAAATAGTGCTTAACGCACTGACAAATCTCCAACTAATCGCTAAAAAGTTGCACCATATTAACTTAATTCGAGTAGTTGATGGAGTAATCGCTTATTGATAAGTTGGTTCTTCGTGGCGTGGTGATGGGACTAGAAAGCGATGAGCGGAACACAGAGCAAAACTCTCTCTTGTGTAGCATAACAAGTTCAAGTAGTAACTAGGGTAAAAATTGGAGCATACATTGAGTCGCGAAACTGATAAAATGGTGTCTAATCAAGCCTACATGGATATCAGAAACTGTCTCAGCACACGTCAGTGATGAAGTTCGAATGAATTTTCCTTTGGATCCAGAACTCGTCACTAGTGGAGTTGGTTGTTCATGTGGTGGCGACATTTCGACATTCATAGTAATGTTCACTGAAATAAATCTTCTCATTGTAGTTATAATCATAAAATGTTTGCAATAACAGAAACAAGTTTCGTTGCTGACAATTTCATACTTACATCACAGCAAAGTTTCCGATGTTAAAGTCTTATGAGGAACTGTATAAAACATTACGAATGCTGAACCCTGCTGTTTATCAACGCAGGATTCCCTACAGACAGAATGCTTTTCTATAGCAGAGTAAATTGTTAACACTTGATACACTCATCGGGATGGGCATGCGATAGGGCATTTCGGACAATTCGCATTAATTCCAATGCACAAGGTGTAGCCTGACTGAAACAAGCTCCCCATATATTACAATTTACAAAGAAAAAAACAGTAACAAGTGGCGATTTATCCAGTGAGTTGAATGATTTGTCGGCTTAATGCAGAGACGATAAAGAATGGTGTTGATGAAGATGATGCTGTGGTCTAACTGCTTTGAGGGAATTCGACCATCTTAAGCGGGTTCACTGCGCTCTGGTCGATGCGAAAATCTAGAAGTCACCCCATGCGGAACCCAAATAAAAAAACGGCGATATTAACGAGTGAAATTTTTTCATTTGGATCTCATATACGAATCAAAACAACTTTTACTTGAAAGAAGAATGGAAGTCGCCATATGAACTATTGATGATGTACTGGAGAGGAGCACAGCAAACGCATAACTACATCAGATTAGTGCCATAGATGGATACAAAAGTTCGGTTATCCTTTTTGTTAACCAGCGCAATCTACTATTAACAATAAAATGCCAAATGAATCATCACGTTTCAATGTCATTCCAAATAAGTATACTCTTATCAACCATAAGAATCGCAGAAACAAAATCTCACCTGTAGTACCGTGTTCAGATTTGTCCTCATCCTCCATTCTTGGCTCGTCAATCTTTGAAGACATTGCAGCCTTCGTGTCAACTGGACCGATCTCAGCTTTCTGTTGAACAGCGAGTTTATTCCGCTCGCAATACCTTTTGATATCATCATAGTATCGCCGGAAATTCTCCTGATATGGTCGTACCTGTACAACTGAGCATTCACAAGCTCTAGTATTACATTACTAATTCCCAATTTGGGCAGGTGTTTCAGAAAATCGGAATGAGGACAACAGCCACTTTTATAGCCAAGAATGAACAATGACAATTCTTAAATGCAGTGACGCCATACTTTCCCAACGAGATAATTTTATTACAAGTAAGGCAAGCACTGTTTTACTGCAGAAATTTTGCTTAGTAAAAGAACTAAAGCAGTAATTTTCTTAACGTAATTTATGAAATAAACTCACTTTAACACTTGAAGCAACAACACAGCTTTGATCCAAGTTTAACAGTGAGATAGATGTGTTGATTTTCATAGCTGAGTGAAGAGCGAGCAAACCCGCTGAGCCTGAAACGGGTACGATGCAATAAAAAAAAGACGAGCACGCACAAAGCATCCTTCTTATGTAACCTAGTAGTAATTTAAAATACGACCCTTCAAAGACTGAATAAATGAGAAAAGTAAACGCTCGAATCGAGAAATCGACCAAACAATCACAGTTGGTAGAAATAATAGGTTTTAATTTAACCTGAAAATTGCTTGGATGCCATAGAAAACCAGTGAGATAAAACTAAAGATATAACTATGATGATGCTGAGATATTTGCAAAACTTCGGACCGCAGGTATCTACGGTGAGGGAACGAACGTGCTATTACCCTTTCCGGAGCCTAACGTGTTCACCACCACACCATGTGGGCCCTTTGTTTCGTTTGTCTATAGAATAAAGACATAGATGGGCACTGACCGATCCCTGGATTGTCTCGCAAATCAACGCGTACCATAGTAGTATTATCTGCAAGACATTCTGCCAATAGTATCGCACCTGAATAATTTATACTGATACCGTTTGCGAAATGCTTTTTCCATAACAGATTTTCATAAAGAAAAACGTACTCTGGCAAGTCATGTGGGTATTTTGAAGTCCAAGTCGGCGGAGATTACTGCCATTACAAGCAAGTGCAGGTTTCAATCGTTGAACGCCAACTTCACCGATAAAGTTGTTTCCAATATTAATTGTTTCAATGTGGAAGTTTTCACACTAAAGCATAACATCGACTAATTCTCCTCGAACCAAGGTGAGTCCTACAACAGTGTTTCAATATCAAGAAAACTACTGAACTTGCAATAACTCACTAATGCCCCTGCAATAGCATTCATGCTACTGGCAGTTATCTTGTTGTTCCAAAGTACAAGTGCCGTAAGAGAAGAATTCTTTACTACCTCCGGATTTCGCAAAGCTTCACATACTTTCACAATTCCAGCATCCTAAATTCTTTCAAAAAATAAGCTGATTTGAAACAAAACGCCGGGTAACATCATTTCCCGAAAAGTCTACGCAGATACAACTACAACGATGCTGAGATATTCGCAAATTTTGGACCTCGGACCAGATCGAACCACGTTTACTGTTTCCGGGGACTCGCGTATTACACATTGCACCACAGAGGTCCTTGCTCTGCATTTCTCTCAACTAGTTTTCTACCTAATGTTGCCATCAGCAATCACCCGTCAGCGGGATTGATTTGGGGAGTCCAAATTGGCATTGAACCCAACCAAGTTGAAGCTGTAGTCGAAATTACAGTGTTGAAATTTTATTTACTGCCTACCATAACCTTCCAAAATTAAAATTAAAAAGTAATGGGTCAACACTGCGACTTCTACGCAGATTGTTTGAAAAAATTCCAATATTTAAAATGTTCACCGTTAATTGATTGTTCCTTAAATCGAGCATTTGTAAAGTGAAGTTATTCGTTAGCAACTGATATAAATGAGCTCCATCGGCACTTTGCAAGTTATTTTCACCAAGATACAATTCCTTCAAAAAACAAATAACTGTGGTATTTCTAATTTCAATCATTCTTAAGCGTGATCACGAAAGTAAACCTACTCTGAGCACAGTGTTGAACTTCAAGGCACATACGAGACTGTATAAATTTCTTCCATATAAATTCACATTCTCCAGATGAAGGCAACCAAGAACGGGTTGAGGGGTTCCTCGAAGTGTTCGACATAGCGTGGACAACGACTTGTCCGAAACAGAAGTATATCGTAGATTTAGCGTTTGAAGTGAATTACACTGGAACGGCAATGTGTTCGAAGAAAGGCATATGAGTAGGTGGACCTTCATCTATGAATCTACGAAAAACATATATTTGTTACAAAACATACATTTTTTACAGCCTTGAATATATCGGTCCATCCCCTAATGGTTATCCGTTTATTAAACGAAAGATTCAACTTTTGAGCAGAATCGTAGAACTCCAGCATTTCACTCAATGCAATGGCGGCCTTAAACGAAATTCTAACATGCAACTCCAAGCCAGTTATCAGCAAAAGCACTCAAAAAATAAGGGAACCATACATCGTCGTCCAAGAACGTATACTCGAAATCCAAAATATCGAATTGAACTCTACGAAAAATTTCCTCAAGAGCCTCCATTTGAGCTGAAGATACTGTCTCGCCCTTGAGAGAAAGCAAGTCTTGTCGACTATAGGGAGACTGGTGAAAACGCTATAAAAAGACTTTTTTAAAAGGTAAATAGGAAATAAAGTGTAGATTTTAGATAAAGAACTTTTTTGGTTAAAAAGATCGATATTCTAAAAAATGGATAATGGAGCTGATAAGGACGACTTTCACGTACCTCGATTTGACGCTCAACGGAGACAATGGTCGGTATTCCCAAATTTTTACATGCATTACGATAATTCACTAAAATTCCAACGACATCGACTCCGTCTGCAGAAGAAAAGACATTCGTGATCATTTTATAATCGACAATTTTTCAACACTAAACTAAACTAATAGCACCTTGTTTCAGTAATAAATGAATTTAACAATATCACATCAATGTTTTCTACAGAATCAAAGGAAAGGGCATGCGTGTGGTGGTGAACATGCTAGCCGCGGAAAGGGAGTATTACCCCTCGCAGACAGCTCTGGTCCGGAGTTTTGCAAATATCTCAACATTATTGTGATTTTGTTTCACCATGGCCTGCCACGAAAAAAGGATAGTCAGTAAATAAAAAGTGATTACAAAGAAAAATTCGTAAAAAATTAGACTCAAAATACACAGAAGAGAAAGAGACATGACATATTATACACTTCTCGACTGCTACAATACAAATAATAAAAACCTCGGATAGGAACACCATTATTTGGATCCCAACATATTTCACTTATCATGTCGCGCTTCACAAGCAGCTAATTCTTGGATTTCATGACCAAGTTTGTACTATTCCGAGGCAAAATTCCATAACGACATAAGAATGGCAATGTTGCTATTCATGATAAAAGGAGCAGCATTTCTTCAATAGTTTGACATAGGGAAACGAATGCGAGGAAAGGGATTACCAAGACCTGCACTCCAAGGTGTGCCAAATACTTTAGATTGTAGTAAATAATCCCCTGTTTCGCGATCAGCCATTGCGAAACACCTTGTCAAGACAATTATTACAGCATCAACACTAATGATGTATTGATGTATTTCATTTTTTCAACATTTTTCGAAGGGAAACAGTTCTTAAACCGACAATCATTTAACCTCGGGAGCAAAATAATCAACATGTATTTAAATTGTTGAGCTTACACGAGGTAGATTTGCAGATTTACTCGCCTTACGTTTCGATGGCTTCATCTTCATCAGAGGCGTTGATCCAAGTTGTAAAGAAAAAAAATACATGAGAGCTTCATCGGCTCTGGTGAAGACGAAGACGTCGAAACGTTAGCCGAATAAATCTGTATATAAACCTTGTGTAAACTCAACAATTTAGATAGATGGTGATTTCTCGAAGTGTTATACTACTAATATGATCTCAACTAATGAACTCTACACAAGAATATCTTAGCGGAACTGCGAAGCTTAGCAACAGTGGAAAATCAATTAAGGTAAGACTATCTTTTGTCTAGTTATTATTAACTCTCGCTTTGTAGACGAAATGGCGAGCCCAATAAAAATCAAGTTAGCATTTCCTTACCAGAAGCACTAGTTATAAGTTCCAAAAATGTGACGTTGTAACAGTCGCGGTCTTAACGGTATCACTTAGTTTGTGTTATTTCTCTAGGATGTTGTTACGACTAGTCCTCAAGGAAGTTAAAGAATATATACATATTTATTGCCTATTGGTCAACATGTTTTTGGGCATTTGGCTCAGATAGCTAAAACAAAACGAATAAAACTGAAACTCTCCTTTACGCCTTGTTCTATCACGTGGCAGAACATTCGCTCAATAACGAAAACTTCACGATGTAGTCATCAACACAGCATTTCTTGCAACACTTGATAGATATTTGGTGAATGATTGGTTATCATAAAAAGTTACAGCGTCGCTAACAAAATCTCCCTCTGATAGATATGTTGCTAACTATCACTTAGAATCTCTAGAAAACTAAGTGAAGCAGTTCCTCAGTTGTAAATACAACCTGTTGTTAGCCGCTGTTTGTGGATATGACAAATTTTGAAATCTTGAATACGAAATTTTTCAGAATGACCGCCATCCCACTGATCAAATTTTAGCTAGACTTCCGGATGAATATTTTGACTTCTTCATCTTAGGTAACGCTTTCAAAGACATCAATACTCTGCTGTATATCGGATTGTAACACCAAAGAACACCTAAAGGCTATCGTAAGACTGTAAGCTTTAGGCAATTTTGCAAATAAAGGCGTCATTACCACAAATTATTTGCTGCACACTTCTTCCTATTACATACAGTATCTAAAAAGTAGGAATCCCAGTAATTTTTTAAACTACTTGCTGACATTTCTGAAAGAAGATAATCTACAACTAACCGCGACAACCTTGAGATTTTTCATCCGAAGAAATAAACAACGGAGTGGAAGCTTCACAATAACCAGAAATTAAGCGTTCGTCGTCAAACCAAACTTTGCGTTCATGAGAACACTTCCTTATTTGCTCATTATCTTCTGAAAACGAAAAAAAGTGATAGCAGAAACGACACATAGAATTATGTGAACTACTCGCTGAAATCAAGTGGAATTTCACGATTTTCAAGCGCATTCAGTAAACTTTTTATTCAAAACTCCGTCAGTAGAACAAAATGGAGCGAATAAAATGTCCTCTCAGTTAAAAAACAGAAGAAAGCTCGTTGATCAGTAGTTGAGGAGCGCCCCATGCATTCGACTTCAATAGGCATAGTTGAAGCGATTGAATTCATGTCTGGCTTTCACAATGACTCGTAATAGTCTACCAACGTACCGAGCCAGTGCTGCTATACTTCCAGACAACTTTGGTACCAATTTGCCGAAATCGGAGGAATGGAAGGCTTGGTGAGTCTTGGGAGCGTGGATCAATTCCACGTGTTTTGCAGAGCGCCTCCGACCACTACGGTTTTAGTAGATCGGCAATTTTTCTCACATTTTCCTGCCACAATATCTGCGCCTTCACTGTTTTGTTACCTAATACTCATTTGCCACGCATTTTTGCCCTATGAAGTAAACGGGCTTACAAAATCTTTTCCTATGATAAGTGTATATGAGATCTTAGAAGAACATAAGTTCACTTAAGATTTAGTTAAACACCACTTGATATATTATTTTTGACATTTATGCATACTTTAGGCATCCAAACATAGATGGAAAATTGTTGGCGGCGAAGCAGTATTCCTAAGAAATGAATTAGGACGATTCAATACATCAGTTTACAACAGTGTACAAAAACGCTTCTTATGGAAAAGATAATAAAGATAATGTTCTCTACTAAGTGAGAAAAAGAACAATGTATTGCGCCATTTTGCAATTATTCTTTGGATACTCAATACTAATGATAAAAGCAATAAAAAAAGTTTTGCGTAAGTGATCATTTCATAACATTCGACACACTTCCCAACGGTTTAACGGTTCAGCGTAGCAGGGAGGTGTTCCTGGGAATCAGTCTGCCATGTACAGCGGGGATATTCATCCCCCCGGGCGGAGTCTCCCAAACTGAGGAGTTCGACTTTTCCACCAGGAAGCCCAAGTGAGATTAAACCGATATTAGGATCCACCACCGTCCTGGTATCAAATTAGTTGTATGGTGGCAAATCTCACTCTGATCCACAAGGACGGAAAGTGCCTGTGGTGATGACGACCTGGGTCAGATTTTGTTTGGGCTGACTTCAGAACTAAAGAGAAACATAATGGTTAAACCAGCTGAACTCCGAAAAGTGGGGAATATTCTCGAGTCCGTACAACTTGTGAACACGGGTCATCCAAATATCCAAGTAGTATCGGGTCGAGTAAGTAATCTTCTACACATAAGCCCAAGACCTAACATTCCCGGGAGCTTCACGCTTGATAAGCCTGATATTTTCTGACACACTTATAGTTTTCGATACAGTACTTGAGGAAGTTAAGAACTTTATACAAGTTATGCAAAAAAAAGCGGAAGAAAACGCCCTGCATGTAACAAGAAAAAAAGAAAGGAGAAAAGAACATAACTTCATCACTATGTGATCATAAAACCTGTGACTTCTTTGCAAATAGGAGAAGGTTTCAATTGCTTCAATTTTAACAGCTAAAGTTCACTTCGAGTTGAAATATTTCTGTTCAAAGTTGAAAGGCCGAAATCTTTTCGGCAACTAGATGTCAAGGATCTAGAAACCACTAGAGGTGGAAATCAATTCCGATCGGCCAGTTTGCCACGCATGTATGAGTTGAAATCAACCAATACTACGCCGTAAGTGTTATGGTGACATCTTCAGACCTCAAAGGACACCTTCAACAACCGGCATTTTTATGGTCCGTCGATACCATTCACCTATGCAGAAAGACAGACAACTGCCACTAATCCCATGGCTGCACCATTAACATGACGCGTACATTTCGCAAAATCACGATGTTCGATGACATAACGTTCGCGTACCCCTTTCAAAAAGGTATTGGGAAGGAATTCAAATACTGCCTTCTCAAATACTTACTTCTATTAAACAATTCTAGTTCAAGACTCATGTAACTGTCGTATAAAAAAAAGGCTCACGACATTCCAAGATCGTTCAAAACTGTAAACAATGCAAAAACAATTCGCTAAGACATTCACATGTGCTGATTTCATCTGATAGTCCCGAATCTTAAAGTGAAAAGAAAAACTTGACCGCTAACGAAAGAACCATGAATTAAGCACGAGTATTAGAGAACTATGCTTTCCTCACCATGTCGACTATGTTTTAGTCCAAAAAAACTGTGCAGTTCGTTATGATATCGCTTGTTTCCTTTCGACAACACACTATACTTCTCAATTTTAGTTCTGTATGATTACATTATTTCAGGTTATTACAACAGGAATCCTCGTTGCAATTATTTCATTAGTTTTATGTGCTCTAAAACAACAGACTCATAATCGTAAGAGAGAGCTATACCCTGATAAAGCGTACATAAACGACAAAGCTGTTGGCGTTGATCAACCCCTGATGCATGCGCCATGCATTCGACTTCACTAAACATTTTTGGGGGTGACTGAATGCAAATCTGGTCTTTACAATGACTCGCGGTGGTCTTCCGATGTATCGAACCAGTGCTGCTAACCTCCCAGACAAGTTTGGTACCAATTTGGCGAACCCAGAAAGATGGAGAGTTTGGAGGCCTAGAGCGCGGGGATCGATCCCATGTGTATTGCACAGCGAACACTGCGCTACACGTACCCCATGGGTTATTAACGTGTTATCAATCATATTTCCACAACTTCTGTGGAAGTTAAATCTTAGCTCTCTTGCAACATCTCTTGAAATGTTGCTAATGAAACAAAATTTTCAAAATTCCATTGATTTAACGAAACGGAGAGACAAATATTTTGAAAACCAGCAAAGATATTCTTAAAAGAACCTTTGGTACAACGCAGCTGTGATTAGTTCCATGCAATTGATGTTTCGAAATATATTATGCTTTCCGGAGATTAATGTAGGATATTGAATCCGCATCCATAGAGGTAAATGAGAGCTCAGAATGGATTTTATCTACCAAAATAAAAACCATTAGAATCTACACTTGCCAACGAGAAACAGCTCTATCATTTTTTGTTTCTTGAAATTCTGAACTTCTGGAGGCGATGAAGTCACTGAAAGCACTTTAGGCCTCGGTTTGGTTTCTGAAGGATTTTTCTTACAAAAAGTTATTCACGTTGTCAAACAATTTCAATCCGGTAGGCTAAAGATCTGACCAGAATGGTGGATGTGGCGTACATCCAAACAATAGTTTGTTCAACTTCTCAGCGTCTGCAGTACGATATTTGGCCATATGTTATCGTGGAAAAAGATTGGTGCCGCCATATTCAGCATTGCCGGTCCGTTACAGTTTCTGGTGAATTTGGCGAGTTGCTAGACGTAGCTCCTCGCCCGTAACCACTTCTCCCTGATTCAGGAAATTGTGGTAAACTAAACCAGTGGCAGACCACCAAACGGTCACTACGACCTTCTCTTAATGGAATATCCGCTTTGGGAAGCACTTCGGGAATTCACCATGGTCCAACTACTGAGCCAAACGTCGCCAGCTACCACATAGCATCCATTTCTGGTGACATATTGCAATATTGTAAAGAGATGCTCGTTATTCTGGTTGCGCGAATGAAGTGCAGATGATATCTTAAAACGGCTATGTCTTTGATCGTCATTGAATTTGTATGGAACCCATTCATCGAGTTCCTTCGACTTCCCAGATGCTTCGAAGCAGTTACGAGACACTCCGAGTTTCCTTCAATTCATTTGCTTAAAACCAAACTCCTCAATTCATTCTCGTCAGCAGGAGCTTCAGGACCTCCTCTATCTCCAACCTCCCCTGAGTACTGCTTTGAGGACAACCTAACATTAAAAATGATCTCGAAACTCGTGAGATCCTGCGCTTGTTAGGTTGGAATCACTAACAAGTTTCTACATAGTAAAAGAAGCCCAACGAAATCCATGAAAGCGTACATGTCTCCGTGGAAATAAAATATTTACCTGCATCACTATACACGTGGCTGCATCCAGGAACACTTTTACGACGAGAGGATACAAATGGCTTATCCAAAGTAGGCGAGAATAACCCATTACTAGATGGAAGTGGTGATGATGGGTGACTAGTGGACGCTATCGATGAATCGTACAAACCGAGTAGATCCTGCAATGTGATTAAGTAACGGAGGTTTAATGGGGCATTTAGTGGAATTTAAAACAAATACAGTGCAAAATTATGAAGTCCATAAAAATTGCAAAATCTAACCGTCATTTCTAGGGGGTGATGAGTGATATCTAAAACTTGACACAGCACAGAGTAAACATATACTTACGTACTTGGATACTTGGATGCCTTATCTTCAGTGTTTGTGCGGGTCCTAGCATAATTTCCATTTTTCGGAGCTCTGTTGGTTCAGCCACTGTGTTTGCTTGGAGTTCCGAGGTAAGTCTGGTCAAAGTCTGCTCCAGGTTGTCACTACCACAGGAAACCGTCGACCTTGTGGATCAGAGGAAGATTTGCCACCATGCGACTGGTTTGACAGCAGGACGGTTGTTGATCCTGGTATTGGTTTATTGTTAGCTAGGTTTCCTAATGGAAACGCCGGACTCCTCAGCTTGGGAGACCATGCCAAGCAATGAATGCCCCGCAGTATATCGCAGTCCGACATCCAGCAACACCTCACAGCCACGATAAGACGGTAAACTGTTGGAAGGAGTAAACATATGATTACTAAGATTTAAAGTAAACAAAATTTGCATCCTCCTAGGTAAAAAAAACTTCATGTGAAGCGGAAGGAAAAAGCTCGAACCATAACAAGTCCCTAGAAAACCTAACCCCGCCCAATTCTGAAGTATACATTTACAACTACACTTCTTAAAGTCCTGTTCGTCATCAAATTTATAGTGTAGAAATATTAGAAGCAAATGTGTTTTTGAATAAGCGAATACTACTCAGAGTCATACCTGAAGTCCTGAAAAGAACTTGATCGACATGTGCTCAGGGAGTTGGTGTTCGGTTTCGGTGTCGGTGTCGGAGACGACGGTGCCGATGGCGACATCGGACGAATTGGCCGCAATGCACGGCGGCTGTGTGTGGCCGTCTCGTAGTGCCAGAGTCGACGCTCTTCGCCCGAATGGTGTACCTGGGAGCTCCCACTACGCGATGCGCGAGACCGTTCGGTGTCGTATAGCGCGAGTTGTGCTGGGCGCGCGCCAGCTGGTTGCGGGGAGGAGCCGAGGTCGCGACGCAAGCGTGCGCCGCTAGCGCAATTCGGCGCATGGCCGCTGCCGCCGCGGACCATCGATTCAGCCCGCACCCCTCTTCTACTTTAATCAATTCAGCGCTTAATCCTTCTATCTAGGCAATGTGCTCACACATTGAATGGTACAGTCTTTTAGTGGATTTCTTCGATCCAGAATGACTTGGTCCAGGTCTCCTTCCCGGTTGTTTGTCTGGTTTTTTCATACGTTTTTAACCATAGTAATTCTATGGTCCGGACATATTTAGTTCTTCCGAAATCCCTAACCCAAAATCCGAGTCTTTCTGCAAGTCATCGGATTTTACTCCAGCAGTTCTCCGTTTGCGTGATTATTTGCTCACTTGCTTGTTTTCTTTCACACCTAAGTTCATCCTCCCAATTTTTTGAAATGCACGTTCTGAATTCTGGGAGGTCTATGACCTACTTTGTGTCACCGTGATGTGGCTTTATAAGAATCCTCATATTCATCGAAGATTGTTACTCTTTATCAAAACCCTCTTTATCCAAGCAATGTTGAAGCCTGGTAGTGTTTGTATTCATAGTTTCTTTCTAAACATTTTTTCAGACACATGGCGGTCATGGAATAGCAGTTGGGGAAACGTGGTATTAGAAGGAAAATGGCCTTGCCGAGGTTAAGGTAGATTTTCCGAATTCGAAATTTATATTTTTTTGTGAACTGATCTTGTTGAGCTATTCCGAGGCGGATATAAGTCGTTGTTGTTGTTGTTGGCGTCTTCAGCATGGTTGCTTTGGTTGTGGGTGTTGTTGTTGTCTTAGTCGATGGCTGATGTTTCGGCGATTTTGCCTTCCACGGAGCCGTGATATTGTGAATAAGACCCGAAATTTATGACTATGAAGTATAGATCGAGACCTGGCACAGAAATCTCCAATCATCACAGCGTAGGAATTTTGTTGTAGTGCTTTTCATCGCAATGCTTATCACAGTGGAAATTTGCTTGTAAGAACTTCGCCTTGGTTTCCTACGAACAGAGTCGCTCAGAGAAGTTCCAGGATAATGGGAATTAATATTAAGTTTTCTATTTATAGGCACTAGAGATTTTCTTTAAGTGAGGCATTGCAAACTGTGCTTCATTTCAGTGTCCTGTTTTGTTTCAGGGTGAATGCCAACTCAGAGGAAAAGCTGGTTCATCCGAACCACATGGTCTATCAGAAAATCGAAGCGCTAGTGAATCACATGCTTGATGCGGAATCTGGTGTTCCTATAAAGACCGTAAAAAGTTTTCTTTCTAAGGTGCCATCAGTATTCACTGGTCAAGATCTCATTGCATGGATTATGAAAAGTCTGGATATATCGGATCTATGTAAGTTCCGTTATTACCATTCTAGTGTGCATGCATATTTAATGATTTCTTCAGTATTTACGTTCATATACTTGAATGCTTGGATCTCCTGTCTTCACTGGTTGTGCTGGCCTTAGCATAATCTCCATTCTTCGGAGATCTGCTGGTTTAGCTATTGTGGTTCGCTGGAGTCTTGAGCTCAGCCTGGTCAAAGTCTGCCCCAGATCGTCACCACCATATGCAATCGGCACTCTTGTGGACCAGAGCGAGATTTGCCACCATGCGAATGGTTTGATACCAGGACGGTATTGGATCCTGGTATTGCTATTGTTTAACTCTTAGCTGGACTTCCTGATGGAAGCGCCGGACTTTTTCTCAGCTTGGAAGATCCTGCTAGGAGGATGAATCCCTCCCCTGTACATCGCACCCAGGGACTCAGAAACACCTCCCAATCACGATGAGATGGTAACCTGTTGGGAGGTTATGTTCATATATACATACATATATGTATGCATATTTATAATTCTATGCTCAGCTGTTTTATTACCAAGCTTTTTTCACTGCCAGTACATTATTTCAGCGGATGCCCTGCATCTAGCTCATCTTATTGCTTCACATGGATACCTTTTTCAAATTGATGACCATGTTCTAACGGTAAAAAATGACGGCACTTTTTACCGATTCCAAACCCCGTATTTCTGGCCGTCGAATTGTTGGGAACCAGAAAACACCGACTACGGTATGCGAATGCAATGGTTGTCGTGAAATTACGCCAATATTGCACTGTTTATGTTTATATTTGATGAATAAATATCTTTTTTGCAGCTGTCTATTTATGCAAACGTACGATGCAAAACAAGGCTCATCTCGAGTTGGAAGACTTTGAGGCCGAAAACTTGGCTAAATTGCAGAAGATGTTTAGTAGGAAATGGGAGTTTGTATTTATGCAGGCCGAAGCTCAGTACAAGTAAGAACGCTTACAGTTTGTCTATTAACTCTCCGTTATTTACTCTCCATTTTTCTATTAACCTTTTTTTATTTTGCAGGGTAGACAAAAAAAGGGATCGGTTAGAGCGTCAAATTCTGGACAGTCAAGAACGAGCGTTTTGGGATGTGCACCGACCCGTTCCGGGGTGTGTCAACACCACTGAGGTATTTTTATCCCTCATTTTTTTTTATGCGTTATCTCCAAAATGGTCGTCGTTCATTGTTCTGAAGGATATATTGGATCTAATAACAAGGAAGGATGACGGTTAGCAGTTTTCGCGACTTTCACCAATAAAGAAAAAAAAGTGATACTAATGCACAAGAGTAGAAGACTCCTTTCTTGAGGTCGATTTTCGGAAGTTGTCTCGATCGGGTCGTCCGAAGTATAGCAGTGGAGGCCACGCAGTACTGAATAGCACTGCTTCACCTGTGTGTAGTCCTTACTCAACCAGTGCTGCAGCTGCGCATGCGAGTCTACCTTCGACTTCGAATGGAGCACCGGCAACAACCCAGCAAACTTCTCAATCCAGGTAGTATAGAGTGCTTGGCACTCTTTCACCCAGCATGACAATTTATTGTCGATATGCTTTTAGTTGGTGTTTTTTCAATTTGTTATAATATATTACAGTTGCACAGAAAACATATTAAACATAAAGCGCTTCATTCTTTAAGTCTTTTAGGGATGTATACGATATAGTTCTAATATGTGTTGCTTAATTTGATTTTGCAACGTTGTTTATGCTCAGATACCAAGAATTGCGTACATGGTTGCTAAAGTACAATCTTCTTAAGCCGGACGTCTATTCATTTACGATGATGTCAACGTTTTCGTTCTGTGTTTAGAAGCTATGTTTAAGTGTTTCAGCGCGAGTAATCCATCTACTAGTGGAGGTTCATTCAGGAGCAATTACTATGCGAGACCAGGGTTAAGAAGGTGCACACAAGTGCAAGATACTTTGAAACTTGAGGTACGTAAACTACAACATTCGGGCGTTCACTCTCATTGGTTTTGTTATAAAGTCCTTTAACAAATGAGAACTTAGATGAGTTAAACACAACTCGTGTCGGTCCTTACGATTTTCTGCCAGTGATTTAAACTGGAATATCTCAACACATGGTGAAGTTCGTTAATCTAAATGTCATTAAAATTCGCCGACCATTGCCACGATGACAAATTTCCCTCCATGACGTTGGAGTTTTCATATTTTGAAACCCGGGAACGGTTTTTTTGGTTTTCTGACATGACCTGTATTTTGTATAGAATAGCGAGTACACAGGCGGATTTTATTCAGCTGGTATTCTCAAGTACATAGCGCATATGTTAAAGTTCTTGATTAAGAATTCCGTTATCCTCTTCAATTTGAAATATATGGACTTCGAACAAATTCAAAACGGGATTTAAGAAGATCTATTTGTACCTCTGGAGTGAAAGAGGTTGAGATAGAAGTCCTTTTCACAGTTTAAGGTTCTCAATTCCCAAATTACTTTATTTATCAATAATATATGTGTGCCTGCGAAAACAACTCACATATCAGTTACATAAATGTGCGTTTTACAAATTTGGTTTCATTTAGACTACAGGTGGTATATAGTGTATATGCTTCAAGTTCAAAGGAGCATGGTAGGGAAGATGGGCTTACGTCGACTTGAGTGAAAAAATGCATTGAGGTTATAGAAGTGGACGCTGTGAAAACATGAAACTCGTGGGAATTTCTCTTCAGAAGTGATTAAGCCGAAGGAGTTCAATACCCTGTTCCGGAGAGATCCCGGATTGGACAGCGGTCGATCCCAGGATGGAAAGGAATTTTGGAAATAGTGAGCTGACAGCTTAAGACTGATACAACGAGACCCAATATTTGTTGTTCTTTTATTGTTATTACATCTGCCGACATAGCATATGTATCATATTGTGGTGATCCTAGGACTTGCATTCGACTCTTTTCCAGTCTCTGCCATCCACAAATAAATTTAGAAGCAGTCGTTGTAGTGCAAGTTTTTTCTTCCTAGTTATTTTTTTTCGGCTTTTTTCCTTTCTAGAAACCATAAAAGGGATAATAACGGATTCACTGTGTGCTAGGTCATATAAAGTTTGCTGTTTTGGGTCAGAAACTGTCTTTTTTGCACAGCTTGTAGGAACTTGTACAATCCAATCAGTCATACCTAATGATTATGGAGAAGTTATCATACGCATTATAAACAGTGAAATGAGTAAAACAAATGCTTCGATGTTCTACTGTGATGGAGCTTTCTGTTCAGTGCTACTCTCTTCATTTCATGAATCCGATGTAACTTTATTTTTTTATGATTGGAGAGCTCGGTAGTCGATCACCAGGAAGTGTGTTCGGGTCAAAATTTCTTACGCGACCACAAACCATCTTATTGATAGAGGCTTTGGAAATGTTTTAAGAGGAAGAATTTCATTGTGAAAGCCTTGTATTTGCGTGAAAGATTATTTTCTCGAGGACTGAAATTTTACTAGGAGCAAGCTAAACTATCTTAGAAACTCTAACAAGAACATATTTCATTTGGATGACGTTTCTAATTTTCTCCTCTTTTTTTCTCTGCACTGTAACCAGTTGTTCAATTGGCTTGGGACTTATCAGCCTAGTGTTTAGCTTTGGGTACTTTTTGGCAACGAGGTTAAATAAAAGTCAGTTTACAATGGTATTACTTGGCTACGTGCAAACTTGCCTAATACCGACTGCTGCAAAATGGATTATCCGTTGAAAAACATCATTATCAAAGGATATTCATCATCAACAACAACTGTTCTGTATAAAAGAACGCTGCCGGGTGAGGGTGCCTCATTCCAGAGGTGCTCCACTGAAGAACATCCGAGTATATACGATGGCGAAGACACCACATGGAAAAGATGAACGACTGTGGGCCATCGAATCGGGTCATAGGCGCTGATGTCGAAACGTTAACCGAATAAATTTTTGATAACAACCTCTGACTAGCTTATCGTATCGTTGGAGTACAGTGAAACGTTTTGAATTTATTGGCCAATTAATGCTATTCCTGACTTAATTTTTTAATAATTGTTGACTTTCAGATTAACCAACTCAATAGTCGATTGTCGAAGAATGTGTTACGGACGTCCAAAGTTGTTGAAAAGTGGGTAAAATCTTATACCATTGTTTCTAAGAACTTCTCTGCATTATTTCCGTGGAAATCTAGTCTATACGACTCTTTCTCAGGAGTTATTCCCTCCTTTTTTTTTCTTTACGCTTTGAGAGATTGTGATTAAATGCTTCCTTCAGTTACTTGGCGTATCACGAGCATCGCAGAGTATTTGATCCATTCCTTACACCATTGGGCTCAGTCTCCGACCCGTTTCAAAGCCAACCGAATCCTTGGATCAATGATACTGTTGATTTCTGGCAACATGACAAAATGTCTGTTTACTCTTATGTCTAAGTCTCTGAGCGTTTCAAACATTTTTTTTTCAAGAACTGGTGATATTTCTACTCGTCGTCTTAAACTTTGGGAAGAATGCTTCGAGGAACTTTTGGCCGACCAACTAGGAAGGGAAACTTTGCAGAAATTTCTCGATAAGGAGTACTCTGGCGAAAATCTTCGTTTCTGGTGGGAAGTGAGTTGTACGTTCAGAAAAGCTTTCAACTCTTAGTTTATTACAACTGTCAGAGAAATTGAAGGTTCAAAAATTGCGAAAGTGTAGCTGCAGAATGGTACCGGTACTGGTGACGGAAATCTACAATGAGTTCATTGATTCAAATGCCACATCTCCTGTAAATGTGGACTGCAAGGTTGTTTAAGTCAATTCGATCGTTTTTTGTGTTACTGTGAAAAGATCATTTCGCTTGTTGCCGTTTTTCTTTTGGTTCGGCATACTCCTGTTTTCTAGGTGATGGAAATAACGGAGGAAAATCTCAAGAATCCAAATCGATGGAGTTTTGATGAAGCAGCGGTACGTGCTATATAAATGCATTTTCTGTGCTATATCTTATCAAATGGTCTGAATCAAAATTTTCAGGATCACATATTTTGTTTAATGAAAAACGACAGCTATCAACGTTTTCTTCGCTCTGACATTTACAAAGATCTCCTTATTCAATCAAAGAAAAAGGTACGTTCTGTTCTTGACATTTCATTCAACACACCCATTTCGCATGTTTGCTAGTGCACTGTTTGCATGCTTCAATTTTATTCGTTCAGTTGAAAATGTATGTTTTTTGTTGCATCATTGGTCCGATTCATATGCAAATTGCCGCCAAAAATTGCTTTCAGAACTAGTTAAAATCATATGTTTAGGGTTCTTGTAACGCTTCTGGATGGTTGAATTAGTCATTAGTAATGACTATTACCTTCAAATTTTAGGTCGATAAGAAAGCCTTTTTGGGCTGTGAGTTTTAAACAGCTGTATATAGAAAGGCTCAAGCATGACATTATTATTATTAAAAATAGTTCGAATCTATACATTTTTGCTACGAGGTACAATTTGATTTATTTCGGCAGAACAGATTTTTAGTGTTCTCAAAGCGACTAATTCTTCCAGGATATTTCAAGCAGCAGCTTAGTGTGCGAAGGTTTTCTAAGTGAGAACCTAGTAGTTGTTAAGATGCTTCAAAAAAGTGATGGTTGATTGGCGGAGAGATCTAGTTGTGCGACGTGTAGTTGGACGTCGTTGCACCATAGAATCCATAGAATGGTTACAAATCCTCCAGTAATTCGTGCGTTTTGATAATTTTTCGACAGTACCTATCTCCTTCATTGATTTCGTTAAGATTCAAGAAACTGTAGTGGATTGTTTCATAGCTCACCAAACGTTGTCGCTATATTTCTGGTGCAAATTTAGCTTGAGAAAATCTTAAGAGGAGTCACTAGGAGGTCTAACCACTCCGCTACCGCCTGTTGTACACTTTTCGTCGCACATCACATTGTAATCAACATGTCGTGGTTTTTACTGCGCAAAAAGTCCCAGAGCCTTCTTAGCGACGGTCTGCAAATGCTTTTGGAGAACACCTCGAGAAGTACGCAATTCCGTGAAACCGGCAAAAATAAACTTTACTTTGTAGGCAATATTATGTAGATTCTTATAGTTCTCATTTCCATGAATAAAATTCTGTTTGAGAGTCGTGAAAGGATTTCACGATCTGGAACCTCAATTACTGTTTGCAACCGGCCAAGCATTCGAAATGGGATAAGCTTTTATCCTTAGTACGCATCTTGCGTGTGATTGTGTTGATTTGTTTTTTTAGAACACATTTTCCTCGTTGCTAGTCCGTGCAGCTTCTCGTAAGCTATCGCGGAAAGCTGCTGCGAACTCCACTGTCACTATGCCCGCCATCCACAGCTCTCCATGCCTTCTTGCGCCTCCTCAGCAGTGATTCACTACGGAAATCGACGCATAGGCTTGTTCACTCTGTGCGTATTCTCATCAGTTAGCTTTCTTGTACACTTTGTCCACGCATGGTTCGGTTCATCATTTTCAACTGCAGTTGCACGTTTTTTTTCTCTTTTGTTTCTCTCAAGAGCTTCGCCTTTTTTGAAAATCATTTGCTCGTTCATTTATGTTTATAGGTGCCAGTGAAGTTATCTCGCGATATTGGTATACGTTTCCCAACGTTGCCGGGTTTTTCATCGAACACAGTACGTCGAGATGCAAATCTGACTGCCGGCGTTCCGGCAGTGACAAGCGCTAGTGGATCGTCAAGCTGCTCACCGACTACTACGACAACTGTAGGCATTTGAAGGCTTTTGGATGTTGTTGTTCTCATTCGAAATAAACTGAGCATTATTAGTAGGTAAATGTCACTATTTTCATTTCGATTATTCTGCTGTTCAATCAATGTTACGTTTTCTTCATATTATGACGTAATTTGTTCGTACAGCATTTTAAACGAGGTTTTTGTTTTCATAACTTACTTTTACTATTATGATATTATGCCAATGGTGGACGATGTCAATACGTATCCCATCTCGGCATGATATTGCTCTTTCAACTAGTTCACAAAGCATGGATTGATTTGATCGCTTCCTAGAATGGGTACAGAATTTGTTTTGAAGTCCGTTTTCCAACATGTCTCTTCACGTCTGGTTAATGTTGATGATTGAGTTCAGTTGTTTGTTGTTTTTTTCCTTCTCTCTCTCCCTTGAAATGCTTCAGATGTATCGCATCTCATCGCTTATAGTCTCATCTGTTCTTTAAGAGCTTTAAACTAGAGTTAGGATTTAAAATGATTATTAACAGTGTGGAGCGTGTCCGTACACACCGATTAAGGCGAACGATAATAGGGGTCACTTCTCATTAATGTGGTGGACCGTTTTTATCGTTACGCATTTTTAGAAGTAGCCGGCACTCATCACCAAATTACCACATTTCGAAAATGCCATGTTGCCCTGATATTTGAAGAGAAATATTGATTGTACACTTGCTACCAGTGTTGTTTCACGAGTTACTTGGCTTCGTGATTGTATAAATTCCTAGTGCCCTAACTTTGAACTGTTCTTTGTTGCACACCAAGATTTAGAACATGTAACCATAATGACGCTGAGATATTTCCAAAACTCTGGACCGCAGATATTTGTGGTGGGGAAGGAACGCGCTGCCACTCTTTCCCGGGGCTAGCGCGTCCATCACAACACCATGAGGGTCCTTCGTTTCGCCTATCTCTCAGCTAGTTTCCTGTTCCTATGTAGAACACAGTTACCCGCACATAACAGAGCAACATCATTTATTAATATTAGCAAACATTACTATCTGTATTCGCGTCCTCTTCGCGATGAACGGTCGCTGTCTCTTCTCCTGTCGCCACGACTTCGGCTGCGTTTTCGTCTCTTGTCCCTTTCGTCTTCTAGTGAGTCTTCCTGCTTCCTTCTTTCTCGTCTACGTTCGCGTTCCCTTTCTCTGCGTTCCATCTCCTCCACGTAAAGGATTTCATCACGTATCTAGAACAAAAGTGCACAATACCAATAACGAAGGTCCGTTGATCGGATGAAATATGAACGTTTTTTGACTAAAGTAGTCTTGCGAAAGTTTACATCTTCAAGACCTCAGATGCTATCTCTTGGTCAAGAACCCATTTAACAGCTTCAGATCAAAATTTGCCAAAGGATGCCTTTTTCCTCATTCCATCATTAATTTGACGTTGGAAGATTCTTATATGTTAATCTTCAAATGCAAGTCACGTGAAGGTCTATTCTCTATCTAATTATCAATGATTTAATGGTAAACTAAAAAAGACGGGAATTTGATCAAGAAAAGTGCAGTTGATTCATGTAGATGGTTTTGGAGCCATTGGTGCTTCAAGTTCCTTAACACTCTGTAGTCACAAGTGATGGTGAGATTGGATTGTGTCGGCGCAAGAGGGAAACAACAGTGAACGGTTATTTATGATTATGACGACTCACACGTCTTTCTTTTTCCATTTCTTTTCTTTTCTCTTCTTCTTCTTCCTTTAATTCCTCAACAGTCTGACGAAGAGCTTTTTTCATTTTAAGCTTTATCTTACGGGCAATCTCTTTCTGAAAACTAGTGAATCTCGACGTAAACATAGCTGATAGAAAAAGAGGTAGGCAGTGGACCTTTACCTTCTCTTCTTCGTCTGAATCTATATTCCCTTCCTTTACACCGATAGTTCGATTTTCTCTAAAGTATCACTAGTTAGTTGTGGTGCCGTCGTGTTAAACAAGGCATAAGTTCAAAAATAAACGCATATATTTCAAAAAACGTTAAAGTGGCAAAAACAGCACGTACCGCACCATCCTTTTTGTTCGATTTATTCGTCGTTTTCGGTTCTCTATCTCGATGCGTTCCTTCTCGGATTCAGACATACTAGATCTAGAAAAAAAAACCGTTAAGCTTACGTTTCATAGGTGGAAAACGAAATTTAGACAATGTGAACCATTTATTTTCTACCTACTACAATTTTTCATTCCAGGGTATTAGATGAAATACAACCACGGTGATGGTGAGATATTGACAAAACTCTGGACCGCAGATGTCTGCGGTGGGGAACGAACACGCTATTAACCTTTCCGATGTCTAACGCGTTTATCACCACACCATGCGGGTCCTTCGTTTCGCCTGTCTCTCAGCAGTGTTACTAACCTATAGTTCTTAACTGCAATTACTCGTCAGCGGGATTGATCTAGGGAGTACAAATCGGTATCGAACCAAGAGTTAAGCTGAAGTTGTGGTAGGAGTTACAATATCGTCACTTTTTATTTAGTCCCTTCTTTTTTTTTAATAGCAGGATATGCTGTTAAATATAACCAAAATGGTACTGAGATATTTTCAAAATTCTGGACCGTAGGTGTCTGTGATGGGGATCGAGAACTCTGTTACCCTTTTTGGGGCTAAGGCATTCAAAACCATATTATGTAATGGTAGATAGAACACTAGCTGGGAGACAGACAAAATGAAAGGTCCGTACTGGAAATGAACGCGTTAGCCGCCGGAAAAGGTATATCGTGTCCGATTCCCACCGCACACACCTGTGGTTCGGATTTTTGCAAATATCGCGAAATCTAGACATTTTCTCATTATTATCACAGTTGCTATGCCAAGCAGTTTCAATAAGTGTAAAGGTTTTACGCAGTATTCTAGTTATTTCTCTTGTGTTAATAGTTCAAATGAAAGATTTGCAGAAATAACCTCCAATTTTTCCATACTCAACTTCATTTTTTGACAACACTTTATTTATTCTGCTGCGTTGTTCTCTAGTAATATATTATTTCTTATCTGACATTCGGACCAAGTTTTTGAACCCTCAGGTATAGATCAAAGGAGCAAAACAAAGGACTACCAAAGAAAAAGGTTGGTTGAATAAGGAAATATTGAAAGTTATCCCTACAAATAAACCTTTCATTTGGGGTATCAACACAAAAGAAAAACTAGAATACTTTGTCAGAATAGGTCATAATAGAGGCAAAATATGCATGTAGTCACCTCGACGATGTATAATTAAACCAATGCAAGGTGCATCTCTGTGGGATTGGTCAACGATCATTGCTTTACCTTTCTACCCTTTATGTTAGTTAAACTGATGTACTAATATACCAATGCTATAACCGTATTGTTTTTCATTGTAAAAATAACCAAATGATGGGTGATATTACCAGAACCTCATTGGAAAACTAGATTTACCGTCACCTTTAACGGCGCATCTACACAGTGTTGGAAAGATTCTTGTGATAATTATCACCACTAGTACTTTATTAAGGGACGGGTAGCTCTGTAGTATTATCATAAGCACGGTGCCGGTTCTATCCGGCACCGGACTCACCAAACCTCTCATCCCTTCAGGGTCGAGAAAGTCGTACAAGACTTTTCTGGAACAGTCCTATCCCTGCAATCCAAGTTAAGAACGGTCTTGAACTGCTACACCAGGACATAGGAAGAATCGTCTCGACTAGCTTTCTACGACATTTATAAAGAAGACAACAATGCTCAAGCAGCACCCAAACCAACATGTGAAAGGAGTGAAGACCATCATGGATGGTGGATGCCATAGTAAATATTCCCTGAATAGCTCAACTTTTCTATACCGTCGTATGTTTCCCATATTAGCATTTTACTACGTCCTACACCTGTCTTGCACATTCTGAAAATTGTTTCCTAGCGACCACCTCATGCACCTGCCTCGCAGCTGGGTGGAATGGAATTCTGTAACCTCTTTTTAACAACTGTTCTTCTTTGTCCGAAAGTTCGGTCACTGAAGAAGCAGCTGCCAGCTGCAAGTGCTATTCGGCACCTGGCGTTATAGTTTGCTTTTTGTATAAGCTGCTGCGTCGCTGTAAAAGTTTTTGTATAGCCTTCACCAACACTCTGTGCAAGCAGCCCTATAGCTCATAAACATTCTACTGTCTCTTGTTCGTTCTGTCAAACTCCCCTATAGAAGCAATACAAGGAGCGTAGTCATCCAGTCAGCGTTTCGTTAGTGTTTCGCTCGCGCATCGCTCAATTTCGAGAGCCCGTTCGCTTAAATAGATACCGCCAGATTTTTAATATTGTAACCGCCACGACCGACTTTCTATTAACCTCGGCATTGATCAAGTAATTTTCTTCGTATTTTTGTTGAGCAAACGCGAGGTGTTATTATTCTTTGTTCACGATTAAGCTGACGTTTCGGCGGATTTCGCCTTCCTCAGAGCCGCTTCCTATGAGGTTTCCACTAAGTATGTCACGTAGAGACCAACCGCACAGAAATATTTTAATATTGTATTTCTATTACTCCTATAAACGGTTATAACGCAAGCTTGAGAATGTGCTTTGTGACAACATCAAAAATACCTCGTCTTAAATTTTTACAAAGTCGAGCAATTTAATTCGAACTAGTAATTATTCTGGGTCGAACAGTGACTCAAATACCTATATACTACTCAACTAATACAAATGCGAGGAAAAGAATCGAATGAAAGAAATGCTGGGATCCGCAGAATAGATGTGAAAGACGGGTTAAGGGAAAAAGAAGTACCTTATTTCCAACATATCGTCATCATCACCGCCAGACGATCTCGATCTTGTGGGAGATTCGTGCCGAAGTGTAGACGTCCCGCGTACAGGATCCTCTCGACGATCCCGAAATATAGGCCTGAAAGAACAAAACCAGAAGTCGACAGGAAATCGAACAGTTGAACAGATTGGATAGATCATTCAATTTACAAATGAAGATTAGTATTACCACCTGTCAGGACTTGTCGCGCGTATCCTGTATCCATCACGAGATCGTGAACGACTTCGTCGTCTATGATTACGATCCCTACTGCGGCTTCTGGAATAACGAGACCGGCGCCTTTCATGCGATCGAGAGCGAGACCAACGTCTTGAAGAACTAACGCTTTTTGAGCGTGATCTGAAACTGTGGGATACGGCCATATTCCAACAACAATCACGATTATGATCCTTGGTATTCAAATCATCGTGCAACTAGTAACCTTTTCCTATCACGCAATCTACTTCTGCTTTCTTTAGAATCCTGTGATCTCCCTTCATAATTGGACATGTGTTCTGGACTATCATCCCGTTTGGTTAGGTGCCTGGAAAGGAAAATAAGTACACATCATCAAGTACAGATACGATCGAAAAAGCCACTTTTGTTGGAATTGTCAAATTAAAATTTTACTTATACACATAACAAGTCAGATACTGATCCACGATGGAGCACTTCATTAAATTCCTTGCCAAAGACTCAAGTTCAACTCAGGCTGAATGGGCATAACGACCGAAATAAGCGTAAAAATCATCTTGCTGTACCTATGTCATTTGACAATAGGCCTCGTCCACGAGAAACCATTCACCAGTAAAAAACGCGAATGCTTATGACGTTAACTTGTTCGAATGCTACGCCTAACCAGTAAAAACGGCCACACTGGAACTATCCCCGTGCGGCTCGATACGTCGGTGGGCCACCGCGAGTCACTGTAAAGGCCAGATATGCATTCAACTACCTCCAGCGATGCTTAATCAAATCGAATGCATGGCGGTACCCTCAGGGATCGACCAATGCCGAGAGCTTTATCCTTTTTATCCTTTAATCAATAGCGGCATTGTACGGTAGTTCCTCAGTATATAAATCCTTTCCCACGACTATGTTAGGAACCAATTTAATCATAATTTTTCTGTTATGCTGTAACTTGTTTTTTGCTATGCTATCTTACCGAGGCAAGAAGTACCAGTGTGTTGTGGTGATCACAGTGTAGAAAACGATATCAACATAACTGGTATAACAGGACGAGAAGACAAATTCTTGTTGCTTGCCTATTAGATGAGAGAAAGTGTGCTTAATTACTCGCACATGTCTCTCAGCAAATAGTTATATTTCGCAAAATACCCTGCCGTTAAAAAGAACAGGCAGTAAATAAAAAAAGGTTAAGATTGTGATTAAGTTTCTGGCAGCAACATTACATTGTGCGATCGTTGGCACTTCTTTCGCCCCATATCTCACTCACGCTTCCGGCTATTTCCGCTATATTACGTTGAATTTGAATTCATAAAAGTAGATTTGTCGAAACCGTTGTTTTGACATAAGGATTTTTAATGTTTAAAAGTTGTTAAGAACACTGTTTACATTTTAACTGTACTAAACAGAGCTAAACTGCATAAAATATGCTTTGCAATGATAAAGAATAGCAGAGTATTCAAAAAATAACGTTGCGAAAACATGAACGGAGAAAGAAAACTGCACAACGTGAGATAGTTTCCGAATTATCCAATAGTATTCAAGGCGCGTAAGAGTTAACCAACAACTGCACGCCTTCAGATGCTATATAAAATGATAGAGTTCGCCATATCACAGTAGAAAACCGGAGAAAGCACTATGGTATTGATATACAGAGCAGAAGACGCGTGTAGAACAGTGATTTTAGGTGCCCTGCAATACAGACGGGATCGATCACCGTGCCCCAGGCTCATCAAACCTTCCATCCCTCCGAACTCGGTAAATTGGTACCATACTTGTCTGGGAGACAGTACCACTAGCTCGACACATTGCTAGGCGACCGCAAGTCATTGCACATAGGCTAGCCAGAAATGCATTCAATCACAACTAACGATCTTTAATGACAGGACTTCTTTTACGAGTCGGAAATATTCAAGGAATAGATCCTTAATGAAATCGAATGTATGGCGCATTCCTCATGGATTGGTCAATGCCGTAAGCTTTACCCTTTTTTATACAAAGTAGACCAAATGTGAGGTGACAACGACAAGAAGGGAACGAAATTGAATTGTCAGTAGAAGTATGTATTACACGTTTATATGCGTTATCAAAGAGTATTTTAAGAGAATTGTATGTTTTAGACGACAAAAAGGAGTTTTCACTTGTAACATTGTCCCAACGTCACTATATATTCAATATCCTGATGCACAAGTTAAACAAGAACTTACAAAATTCGGCGATATTCTTTGGTTGGTAACTGAGGACCAAGCACACTCACTGTTAGTGGTTTTTCCTCATCTTCGTCGTCATCTATAAGTTTCGAAAGGTTAGAATGTAACACTGGTAGAGGAAAAAATTAAAACCAAATTTGATTCTAAAATTGTAAGTGTGAATTCCCACCAATTTTTATAACAGATCCCTTTACTTGTGATATCTCCCGACTGATTCACGTGATTTTCAAACAAAAAATCCCGCAATATTTGGCCAACTTCTATTACTAATACCAGCCTCCACGCTTGAATCAATGGAACCATGTAACCATATACATATATATATACATGCATATATGCATATATATATATGTACATACGCACGCATGAATACATGTGTATTACATATATTTATATATATATATATATGTATATATTTATATATGTACACACGTAACCATATATACATGCATATATGTATATATATACAAATGCACGCTTGTATACATACACACACGAATACACATGTTTATATATGTATACATGTGTATTATACATATATATATATATATACATATTTATATGCCAGAAAGTAATTCTCCAGAGAGATCTAGTCAGATCTCTCAATCGTAAGCTTTGAATTCTTCAATTGAGAACCAATATTCCAGTTTTTTCATCTTTTGCAGATTTACTACGGCAGAGGCTTCGCTAGATTACACACGGCTTCCACGTTGAAGCGCGGATTATTGTTCGAAAGCAAACCCATACCATTCCCACGAATTTCTGAGACAGTTCGCTTCGGAAAACTTATTTCCGAACCATCGTGCAAGATAGATCTCGTATACATTCAAGCATACCCATATACGTATGAATGGTTATGTCTGCTTATATACGAAAGCCACATGTCAATCGAGCATACCATAGGCATGGATTCCATTCCACAAATCGACCTACGTCCGTTGTATGCGGAAAAACACTTACTTGGATACTTGAGTAATCCGTGTTTACTGGTTGTGCGTATACCAGTATAATTTCAATCCCGCATATTTGTTGATTTAGCCATTATGGTTCCCTGGAGTCTCAATGTCAGCCTAGCCGAAGCCTTCTTCAGGTCGTCACCACCCCAGTCAATCGGCTTTGTAGACCAGAGAGAGTTTGCCCAGCACGCGACTAGTTTGGTACCAGGACGGTGGTGATTCCTCGTATTGGTTTATTCTTAGATGAGCTTTCGGATGGATATGTCGGACTTCTTCTCAGCTTGGACAGATGAACCGCACTCTGTACATAGCAGCCCGACACTCAGGAACACCTCCCAGCCACAATTACGCGATAAACCTTTGAGAGGATGAGGAAAAACAGATGGACGAAAAGAAAACGCATAAAATATAGTGCACCTCAGTACTTCTGAATTCAGCAAAATTTAGGTCAGTGGGTAGTGATATATTATAGATAACGGAATTCCATTAAGTAAACAAACAACTCATTTAGAATAGAGAGGTATAGGGCATAAAATGGAAGATATAAGAGCAACGTGAAAAACCTTAAACTCTCATTATAGATTGGCGAGTGGCTCCCAACTGATTTGTTATAACTAACCTTTCCTTTCATCACCACCGAACGTAGTTATAAATTGTGGTCGAGCATCACCTTCAGATTCGCTTGATGAACTCGATTCCATAATGGATTTTTTTAGAGCCGTCGATTTTTCGACAAAACTAAACATAGATGCTTACGTGGTCTAAAAAAATAAAGAGTAAAATCAAATTTGTTACAAAAGAACCAGAAAATTAACCTGAGCAGTGAAACTGTGGCTTCATCTGGACATCCTTTGCCAACAATTAGTGCTCTTTGTTTTTTCAGGAGCAACCGCTCATGTTTAGAATCTCTGCCCTGAAACCATTTCGCAGATATCACTACTGAAGATGGAACAACGTTACAATGTCAATCAAAACCTTAAACTCTTCCATCAACTAAAACATTTCGCTTCTGGAAGTTCTCATGAACAAAACAAATGTAAAGCAGATCTTTGATTATTTGATGCTTCAAGATATGCAGTTCTTTTCGATAACTTTTTTCCTTTGTCAACAGAACTCTGATGATTAATTACAGGGTTGTAAACGGACAGCGAGAGCTGCTTTTTCACGGTCGATGCGACGCAGCTCGGCTGTCTCGGCACGCGCGACAGCATCTGCTTTCAGAAGTCCCGCAAAACTGCCACGACGAACACCATAAGCTTCTCCAATGCAATTCACTCTTCTCTGGGATTCCGCATCGGCGCCACGAAGATCAAGCTCCACATCTGAAAGAAATTCATTTTCTCCTGGATCTAACGAGTGCAAGACGTAATCTTAATGACTACAAACCTTTTATTTGGTGCCTACAACAATTTTCACGGAAGAGTATGATGTGAGATACAACCAACCACAACGATGGTGAGATATTTGCAAAACTTGAACCACAGGCCAGATCGAACCACGATTATCCTTTCCGGTGGCTGGCGCGTTACGCACTGCACCACTGAGGATCTCACTCTGTTTTTTTCTCAGCTAGTTTTCTATTTAACGCTGCCTTCGGCAATCACTCATCGGCGGCATAGATCTGGGGAGCACAAATCGGCATTGAACGCATTAAGCCGAGGCTGTAGTCGAAATCACAATGTTAACTCTTATTTGCTGCCTACCATAATTTTCACGGCATGGTTTGGTGTGATGACTGTTATCAGTGAACGTTATCCTTAACCATCGGTATACTTTGAAACTTACCAATGTCTTCTGGTTGCTCGATGTCAGTTTCATCGTCACTCATTTCAGTGTCTTCAGCTTCCTTTTTCACCACAACTGAGTTTTCGTATGTGAATCCAATCGAAGCTTTCGATTCAGCGGACTTTCTAGAAAACAAAGACGTTTACTACAACCTAACCCGATTTATTCGAATTTTACAGTTGGCGTAGAAGAAGCAAATGTGGCCGATAATAAATAAGCTACTTCTTTTTGTCGTGTTCTGACTTGAGCTGTTCATCCTTAGGAATTCTCCAAAACTCCTTCTCCGCTATTTTGCGCAAGTAGTCCTGAAGGAATACGCGGAAGTGATTTCCCGAAGCAAACAGCATTTGTGCATAAACAAATGCAGAAACAATGAGTTAAGAAGCTAAGGGGGAATTAAGGAAAAAATACCTTCTCTGAGACGTCGCGAAATTCATTAATTATTAACACTCTGTACCGTTCGAAATCACATATTAGTTCTTGTTTCTCATCCTCACTAAAACGAGGAATAGCTAACTTTACACCAGTAAGATATCGAACGATATACCCAAATACCCAACCTGTCCGGCTCGACACTTTTCTTCTTTACAGGTGAGATGAAATCAAGATGAGCCCGTACATCAAAGCGATCTATTAGTACAGTAGGGTCACCCTGCCATTTTCGTCTAGGAGCACAACAATTTAGAAACTACACAAAGTTTAATTAACGGAGGATAAAAGAAAGACTAACAATATATTCTTGTCCTCTGCAGCTTTTGCGATACTTCTATCAGTGTGTATTATACACTTGCGGCCATGCAATTGCATAAACTGTTCGGGATCTTTACGCTAAAATCAGGAATATACAAAACAGAACCACCATGATGCTGAGACATTTGCAAAACTTCGGACCGCTCTGCAGTGAGGATCGCACACGCTATTACCCTTTAACGCGCTCACCACCACAACACGCAGTTTGCCTGTCTCTCAGCTAGTTCTGTTTACCAGTGCTATCAGCAATCAACTGCCAACGGGACTGATTTGGCGAGCACAAATCGACAATAAACCCAAATGAGCTGAGGCTAGAGTTGAAACCACAATGTTAACTTTTTATTTGCTGCCTACTATAACTACTATTTACTAACTACCTACGTAATAGACAGCAAATAGAAAGTAATCACGCAGAATAGACCTAAAAAAGAGTACTCACAAGCTCGTTACTGATATACAGCGAATCGATACCACTCAAATTCGATACCAATTCCATACAATTAAAGGAAGTGATTAGACTGGTACCAGTAGAAAATCTCAATAACTGGAAACTCACCACACTATCGTAGAATCTCCTACGCTTCTCGGCTCTTTTCGAGCAGTCAACGATCCTTGCCCGCATGATCTTCTCCTGACGACGAGCCTCATGCCACATCGTAACAAACTCCAACGTGATGTGTTATTTACAGCGATGCATTTCATATTAATGAAGATCCAAACAGAGATAAACGAACTCCCGAAAAGTACTACGGGTCAAAACATCATCAGTGGTATTTTGAATATCTGATAGTTTATTCCCTTTGACTATGTAGGTCTCAACACAACTGTAACAAGACGAGAACAGAACTGCAAAACTGAAATGATAATGATCATAGTAAACGGTGATCGAACTCAAACAAAAAATTCTTTGCAACGCTTATCAAGGATCCCATGTGCCCTTGCAAGCAAAGTTTCTTGACGAATTAGAGCATCATCTAGGCCTTTTATTTCCTAAAATGCATGTGGAAATAGACCCTCTATAAAAAAGTCTACTGTTTTAGTCAATAACATACATCTTCATAAACTTCCTCTGGGTGATCAATTTGCCATTGTAAATCGATTTTTGCAAACTCTGAACAAACGTCCAAACACGAATCACGAAACTGAAAACACATTCTGCTAGTAATTTACAATCACTTCTGTAAATAATCTTTAATGTACATTCGCTATGATGCCGCTTTTCAGACAACCGACAAAAGTTCTTTGACCACTAAATCAGGTTGAGAAGTTAACAGCTTCACAAACTAGTGGAAAAGGTTTCGCTCAATGGTGATTAGTTTATCTCACTGTCTTATAAAATAACCCCTAGACTTTAAAATTGACTAGATTTAAAAATTTCAAAGCACAAGGATCGAAGTTTAAGACTGCAGGATTTCAAACCCAATCCTTCAGCTGAAAGAAAACTCCAAAGTTGCATTTTTGGACACCCATATGGGCTACTAGACCAAATTTATTCGAACTACGCGCCTAAAATTTTGAAAGTAAGGGCATCAAAAAGAACTGCACTACGTGGCAAAACAGCAAACACCAACAGAACTGTAAAAATAAAACTTTGCATACAATAGAATGAACTTTTTAACAGTGGCAAAAGGGTCGAAACATATCCCATAACTTCAAAAGTGAACTCGTTCTATTACAACAATGGAAAACAACCCAGACCCCTAAAATTTCAAGAAGATATCATAGTCGTGAAATCAGTTATGCCTTTCAATGATTTCCATAAGTTTAGATGCCTTCATACCAATGAGTGAGTACTATTTTCACTCACTGACTAACTGTTTTCCAATGAAAAAACCATAGTTTCTACACAGCAAAAAGATCTGCTATTTCTCTTCTATGTATGCTATTTCGAATTTGCTCTTCGTCGCCTTCTTGCTACTAAGGTTTTTGAACTATTCAAGTAGTTACCAAGACCGACTTTCTGTTAACCTCGGCATTAATTGATAATTCAATGCTTTTCTTCAACAAGTAGACACGAGGTTGTTAATATAGAATTTATTAGAACACAATTGCTGACGTT